AGACAAGTAAAAAAAAATTCCTTTTTTATTAGGCCTGAGCCCCGAACAGGGAAAGGGCCTATTGTTTTTGCTCGAGAGATGTCAAATTCTGCACTTTGAGCCTTAATTTCACCCCCTGAACATGCATGAAAAGTTGTAAAATTTTGACCAAACATCAGACCTGGTGAAAAATTTGATATTTTGGTGTTTATTTTTATGGGACTCAAAAAATGCCAGAACAGCGCCACCTACAACAGCCAATGGGAGTTTCAGAGGTCAAGTTTGTCGTAGAGCCATGAAATTTGGTACACATGTTCCTCAAGTCAAGATACGACCGAAATGTTATCATGGCTCCGCCCTCTGACAAACAGGAGGCCCATAAATTTCACTGCAAAATGGAAAAATGAACAGCAAAAGTTTTCATACATGTCGGTTGGAAAGCGACTCCTCCTCGGCCGTTTCACCGATTGGCCTCCATATCACTCCACATTGTCTAAACACATGTACCATCAAAATGACCTCAGGGATTTTTGATCAGTGAAACGTTGTTTGAGCAGCGGAGCGGCAAAATGTGAGTGTTTATTGGCCGTTTTTCACAACCTTCTATTTGCTCCCGTTTACACATACAAATTCCGATTTGCACAAAACTTGAATCCATGGTTCAACTCTAGGGTCTAGGTCATTTGAAAGTGAAATAATTGAACTAGGCTCATTAACGCCCCCTACAGACTATTTCAGAGTTTTTAGTATGAAAAACTCTGAAAACTTTGACTCCATCTGTAGGGGCACTAATGAGCCAAGTTCTTTTATTTCACTTTTAATTGACCTAGACGAATCAGTGAAATGTTGTTTGAGCAGCGGAGCGGCAAAATGTGAGGGCTTTTTTGGCTGTTTTTGACAACATTAATTTTTTTCCCGTTTGCACAAACAAAGTCTGATTTTCATTAAACTTGAATCCATTGTTCAACTCCAAGGTTTAGGTCAGGTGAAAGTGAAATATTTGAAATTGGCCCATTAGCGCCCCCTAAACACTGAGCCAAAATTTACATGGGGAGCCAAACCAGCTCTACTCATCATATTCATTACAATTTGACTAACAATCTTCTACGGCTACGGGAACAAATCACCACACGGCGGCGCCACCTCCTTTGAGCGGTGCTGCGTGGTACGGTGTGGTGCAGCGTAGTGCGGGGCGTTGTGGAGCGGCGCGTTGCGGCTTGGCGGCGTGATGCGGGACTGCGTGGTGCAGGGCGGCGTGGTGCAGGGCGGCGTGGTGCAGGGCGGCGTGGTGCAGGGCGGCGTCGTGCGGGGCGGCGTCGTGCGGGGCGGCTTGGCACGGGGTGGTGCGCGCGGGGCATGCGAGCGGTGCGGTGAGGGCCGTTCGACGCCGCTTGCGGCTTTAATTTCCATTTGGAATTACTTTACATAACACAGACCTGAATCAGAGCTTGTTCAGTCCTGGTTCAGTCCTGGTTCAGTCCTGGTTCAGTCCTGGTTCAGTCCTGGTTCAGATCTGGTTCAATTCTGGTTCAGATCAGTATTCATCTCATGTTTGTTGGGGACACATCTGTTGCTATGGAAACCTCTTATGATGAGTATGAAAGGAGAACGTGCATTTTTTGACAAAGCAGCGATGCTTTTATACTGAATTCAATCATACTAAATTAACGCTGAAGTCTGTAGCTTTAACCTCATGAATTACATGTTTAAGTAAGTAAAATGTATTTATATAGCACATTTTACAGGCCAAGGTCATCCGAAGCATTTTACAACTTCAGCCTAATCTAAAACGCATGTTAATATAACATGTTATGTATATATAGTCAGAAATCCCTGTGAGTCACTGTTTGCCTCTTTGGGTTGAGAGCTGATCGGCTGAGTGAGGGTGGTCCTCTCCGTTTCACTTTTCCGTCTGAAAAAGATGATCTACAACATGAAAACAAAGTCCAAACTGTTTGAATGTTTTGTTCTTTATTGTCATGTTTCACACGATAGCAGCATTAGTATCATTAGCTTAGTGTTAGCTCTGATTGGACGACAGCAGAAAATAGAACTACAACAAGAAAGCACAGAAAATGTACAAGCATGGCCTCCACTTTCAAAAACAAAATCCAAATCTGCAAAAAAAACCTCATAAAAACATGAAAGCAGATTGTTCAGGTCAGCGGCGGCCATCTTGGACAGAAACCACCTCAAAACTCAGTTTCAGAATAAAATAATTATTTTGTACAAAAACATTTGAGCTTTTGTCACAGCGACTACAAAGAAAGTGACATTACAGACGCAGTGTGATGGTTGGACACAAGAGGCAGCACTGAGCAGAGACCTGGACAGTCCTGTGTTCAGGTGGCACCGTCTCAGCGGCTGAGGTCAAATGTGGAACGCGGCTCCAGCTCTCACAAAACTTTAACTCTGAAAAACATTAGCTCTGTCTGGTTTGTGCAATACGTTATTGTGCAATGTCCCTTTATTGCCATTTTATGCCATTATATATATATAAAATCATTATATTATATAATATAATATACATATATAATTATTATTTAAATATATTTAAATCAATATATAAGCACTCAGAGACATTTTGGCTCTGATGAACAGTGCACCTGGACCTGAGGTGTTCTGTACAAAACTAAAGACTAAACAAAAGACGGATTTGAAGCAGAAAAAACATTCGTAAAGTGCTTCCGTGTCTAAAGTGCTGAACACAGTGCCCTCACAGCGAGAGGGTCCCCCACAGAGAGTGAGTCCCTCACAGCGAGAGGGTCCCCCACAGAGAGAGAGAGACCCTCACAGAGAGAGGGTCCCCCACAGAGAGAGAGAGACCCTCACAGCGAGAGGGTCCCCCACTGAAAGTGACCCTCACAGTGCAAGGATCGCCAACCGTGAGAGAGGCCCTCACAGAGTCCCTCACAGAGCGAGAGAACCTCACAGTGAGAGAGGCCCTCACAGAGCGAGAGAACCTCACAGTGAGAGAGGCCCTCACAGAGAGTCCCTCACAGAACGAGAGAACCTCACAGTGAGAGGGTCCCTCACAGCGAGAGGGTCCCCCACAGCGAGTCCCTCACATAAAAGGGTTCCCTCACAGAGAGCCCCCCCTCCCCTCTTCTTTTCTCCCCCCCTCGGCCCTATGTTCATTGGAGTTCATTTGAGAGAAGCACTGGGTTGACCTGCTCTGCCTCCTGATTGGACAGATTGAATTAAAGCACCTGAATGAAAGGCAAGCTCTCTTCCCATTGGTGGTTATGCCAAGGGGAGGGACTTACTGAGCCAGATCAAAGTACACACTTAAGTTACGGACATCTGTAACTTTAGTCCCATAAATAACACATGTTTAAAACTGGGGTCTGCAAATTTGGTCTCATAAATAAAACATTTAAAACTGGGGTCTGTAACTTTCTCTTGTGTTGTATTTGGTTACAGACCTGAAAGCTGATCCGTGGGGAGCCTGCAGCCCAAAGAGGCAGATAGTGACTCCCACGGCTCGTCTTTAAACCACAGAAACCACGGAGCCAGGCCTCAGCAGCCCTTATCCCCGAGTTAGCTCGTTTATGGAACACACAGGTAATATATACATTATAGAGACCCAGACCAGGACCTGGGCCAAGACTAGAACCCGGAGCCAGACCAGGACCGAAGGCCGACCAGGACGAGGACCTGGAACAGGATTTGGATCAGGACCTGGACCAGGCCTGAGACAACTCTTCTGGTCTAAAACAAATCTATCATCGTAACTGGACGTAATAGTTTACTCCTGTCTAAACTTGGTCCAGCACTCATCCTGGTCCCGGTCTGTCCTGGTCTGGTCCGGTCTGGTTTAGGCAGCAGGAAACTAACACAGTATGAAAGTGTCTTTTGTGGAGCACAGTCTTCAGTTTCAGATCTGGTCTCCAGTTTGTTTCTGAAGTTCAAATCCATCTGTGAGAAGGCCAACAGAAAACGTCTAGCTCAATGCTAACCCACTAGCACACTGAAGCCCAACACGGAAGTGCTCATGGTGAAGTTTGGCTCCTCTCTCTGGCTCCTTTTGACTTCCATGTAGAAGTAAACTCCTCTTGCTCAGTAACGTTTGTGTGACATCACCATTTTGGACTTAAATCTCTGGTTTATCGCTCTCAGTGATCCTGCTGTTCATATGTGAGGTTGTCTTTGTTATTCCTGATATGTCCTTATGAGGACCGACCAATCTGAGGCCTTCATGGCTCCAGCCAGTGTTCGAATCAGCTTCTTCCACATTAAGGCCAACACTGTGGTGATGTCACACTTTGTCAGTCCACTCCCGATAAACACTCCATTTGCTAGACCCACAGAAAACACGCAAGCGCTGGTCGACATCTGGACCAGTTTGTGATGATGTAATGAAACTTCTTCAATCACTGGCCCCACCCACAGTGGCAGAGGGTGTTATCTCTGTTCAAATGATGAGGAGGTTAGAAACTCCTCTTCTGACTCAGACGTATGGGGGTTCTCATTAGTCCTCATACTTCTTCATACCCTCTCTGGTCTCCCTCTCTGGTCTCCCTCTCTGGTCTCCCTCTCTGGTCTCCCTCTCTGGTCTCCCTCTCTGGTCTCCCTCTCTGGTCTCCCTCTCTGGTCTCCCTCTCTCTGATGTAGAGCTTTCCATTCTTCATCACAAAAAGCCTCCAGTTCCTGCATATCCCTGGGCTGGCCTGCATGAACTGCAGAAGTGAGATATGACTTTAGAATCCTTTTATTTGTGGAACGCTTTCAAAGAAGTCTGTTGAAGTTTTGAAACATGTTACTAAATGACTTGTGCAGTTTCTCTGGTCACATTAGGTGTCTTCAGTGACAACGTCGCACTTCAGCCACCAGGTGGCAGTGTTGCTCATCTTGAACATCTCTAACTTCATTAAACATGCTTTTCCACATGTTCTGTGCTTGTGGTAAATAGTTACGTGAACTGGTGCAATGAGGCTGCTCCACCGCACCCCTACTCCCCCTAAACCACCCCTGTGACACCCCCCCAATCACCCTAGCCCCCCCTCACTCCTACTACTGCCTTACCCCTGCCCCCTGCAGCACCTGAAGCGCAGCATCTTGTGGAAGGCCCTCTTGAACTCGTCATTGCTCATGGTGTAGATGATGGGGTTGATGAGGGAGTTGAGGTACCCCAGCCAGGTGAAGGCGTCGAACAGGTCGCTATGGAAACAGGAGTGACAGACAGGCGTGAGCAGCGTGTAGATGAAGAAGGGTAACCAGCAGACGATGTAGGCACCCAGGATCACCCCCAAAGTCTGAGTGGCCTTTCGCTCTCGCGCCGCGCACATGCGCTTCTTCTCCAGCAGAGCGTCCGACACAGTCACCTTCACGTGTGAACAGGAGGGGGAGGGGCAGGGGTCAGGGGTCAAGGAGGAGGAGGAGGCGACAGATCCTGGGGAGTCTGTGATGAGGCGTGCAGAAATGAGTCGCTTGGCTTTGTGCTCGCTCTGCTTAAAGATGCGTCTGCGCGCCTCCACATAGATGCGGCCGTACAGCGCCATGAGCAGCAGCGTGGGGATGTAGAAGGCTCCGAACGTGGAGTAGATGGTGTAGAACACATGGTCTGTGTTCACCGTGCAGCTGGTCACCTCCTCCGCCTTCTCCTGCCGCCAGAACAGCGGCGGCAGAGAGATGCACACGGCAATGACCCACGCTGTCACGATCATCCCGGCTGCTCGCCGCCGTGTGCGCTTCTTGGTGTACTCCACGGCGTCCGTGATGGCCCAGTAACGGTCCAGCGCAATTACACACAGGTGTAGGATGGAGGCGGTGCAGCAGGTGATGTCAGAGGATAACCAGATGTCACACGTCACCTGACCCAGCGTCCACGTCTGCCGCACGGTGTACAGCGCGCTCACGGGCATCACCAGCAGCGACACCAGTAGGTCCGTCAGGGCCAGGGACGCGATCAGCAGGTTGGCAGGAGTTTGCAACTTCCGGGATTTGTAGATCGTCACGATGACGAAAGCGTTGGACAGCGCGGTGGCGCACGTAATGAACGCGAGCGCAGCGCCCAGACCCGCGCGGACCGCACTGTTGCTCGCCTCCGCGTCCGCGCTCGCGTTCGTCCAGGTTGAGTTTAAGAGCAGCAGCTCTGCCATACCGGGTTTGCCGCGTGTCACATCCCGGCGGTACACACGTGCACACCGTCACACGCACGCACCCATGACGGAGCCGCAGAACAGACGCGCCTCCATCCTTTGCCGCGCGGCTTCATCCGCGCCGCATCTGTTCAAAGTTCACCGCGCGGTCTGCTGCCTCTGAACATGACGTCATCTTCATCAAATGTGTGTCTTCCAGTGTGTCCCGTGCGTCAGGCTCCGGATCCTAGTCCAGACCCGTTGTGGTCCAGCCTAAGACCCGGTTTAGTCCTTGTCTAGACCTGGTTCAGATCTGCACGCGCTACTCCGGACTGAGAAGAGTGCGCGTGTCTGCCGTTTATATACCGCGTCTCCCTCACTGTGAAGGTGAAACAGAGCAACAGCGAACCAGGTCTGCACCAGGACTGGACCAGGTCTGCACCGGGTCTGGACCAGGTCTGCACCGGGTCTGGACCAGGTCTGCACCGGGTCTGGACCAGGTCTGCACCGGGTCTGGACCAGGTCTGGACCAGGTCTGCACCGGGTCTGGACCAGGTCTGGACCAGGTCTGGACCAGGTCTGCACCGGGTCTGGACCAGGTCTGGACCAGGTCTGGACCAGGTCTGCACCAGGTCTGCACCAGGTCTGGACCAGGTCTGGACCAGGTCTGCACCAGGTCTGGACCAGGACTGGACCAGGACTGGACCAGGACTGCACCAGGTCTGCACCAGGTCTGTACCAGGTCTGTACCAGGTCTGGACCAGGTCTGGACCAGGTCTGGACCAGGACTGGACCAGGTCTGTACCAGGTCTGCACCAGGTCTGCACCAGGTCTGGACCAGGACTAGCGTAGACCAGGACTGGACCAGGTCTAAAATACGTAATTGATCTCACAATGGAGCAAGTTTTTTGTTTTTAAGATAAGAAACCAGGTCTGAACTAGGTCCAGACCAGGTCTAAATCAGGTCTGTCCCAAAATGTCCTGTTCTAGTGTTCCAAAAAAAAGTTTAATTTTGCCTTTACAACGCAACCGACGTCAACAAAGTGTAGGAATCTTTTTCTTTATAGTCTTTTAGTTATAAACGTGAGAACATGTGCAAAAGTTCAAGACCACAAAAGTAGATTCTAAAACTAAAAACACAAAGCTTTAAACATCTCAACGTCATGCTTCAAGGACAGCATGAACTCCAATGATTCATTCGATTTATTATATATATTTAACCCTCTCGGGAAATTTAGTTTTTATTGTTTGCGTTGGGATAAAAATATCGCTAGCATTAGCACTGTTAGCACGAGTTAGCATTTGCGCTGTTAGCATTAGCGTCGTTAGCTCGTGCTCATCAGTCCTTCTCAGATAAATGTCGACCCCACAAACCTCCACATCAGGTAATCTCACATAAGCAACACATTTAAAGCTAAGGCACCTCACCTCACGTTTTCCATGTAAATAATACGTTTTGCAATGTTTCATCAGAAGGTCTTCATCTTGTTAGAAAGGATTATCTTTTGAGTCAGAGAGGGCCATCAGAGTCACTTTTTGACTCTTTAGACGAGATCTGATTGGCTGAGGGAGGGTGGTCCTCTCTGTTTTACTTTTCTGTCTGAATTAATCTGTTTTAAAGATGTGACAGAAATATTTTAAACTATTGACAGAAGCAAGTTCTAGATGTAAGAACTAGAGACATGGGTTTAATACAGAGTTCTATTGTGGTTATGAAGTTACATATCCCAACTTTATTGGTTCCCCATCTTTATGTCCCTCACCTTTAAGTTGTTCTTTGTCCCAGTGTCGGAGCAGGAGAAATGTCTGCTCCTGAAGCTTAAGATGGCTTTAGCTGTGGCTGTCATCAAGTCCAGACCCAGAGGAACCAGCACCAGCAGCTACTGCCAGGAACTCTCTTCAACCCTGAGGAAACATGACGGGAACTGGAGGAGAAGAGCCGAGGAGCTGGAGAAGGAGGTGCTGCGGCTGAGACAGGAGCTAGTTCTACAAGAAGCTACTGAGAGACAGGGGCTACTGCTGCAAGGGGCAAGTAAGGAGGACACAGGTGAGACAGGAGCCACTGAGGAGGACACAGGTGAGACAGGAGCCTCTAAGGAGGACACAGGTGAGACAGGAGCTAGTGAGGAGGACACAGGTGAGACAGGAGCCTCTGAGGAGGACACAGGTGAGACAGGAGCCACTGAGGAGGACACAGGTGAGACAGGAGCCACTGAGGAGGACACAGGTGAGACAGGAGCCACTGAGGAGGACACAGGTGAGACAGGAGCCTCTGAGGAGGACACAGGTGAGACAGGAGCCACTGAGGAGGACACAGGTGAGACAGGAGCCTCTGAGGAGGACACAGGTGAGACAGGAGCCTCTGAGGAGGACACAGGTGAGACAGGAGCTAGTGAGGAGGACACAGGTGAGACAGGAGCCTCTGAGGAGGACACAGGTGAGACAGGAGCCACTGAGGAGGACACAGGTGAGACAGGAGCCACTGAGGAGGACACAGGTGAGACAGGAGCCACTGAGGAGGACACAAGTGAGACAGGAGCCTCTGAGGAGGACACAGATGAGACAGGAGCCACTGAGGAGGACACAGGTGAGACAGGAGCCACTGAGGGGGACACAGGTGAGACAGGAGCCACTGAGGAGGACACAGGTCAGACAGGAGCCACTGAGGAGGACACAGGTGAGACAGGAGCCACTGAGGAGGACACAAGTGAGACAGGAGCCTCTGAGGAGGACACAGATGAGACAGGAGCTACTGAGGAGGACACAGATGAGACAGGAGCTAGTGAGGAGGACACAGGTGAGACAGGAGCCTCTGAGGAGGACACAGATGAGACAGGAGCTAGTGAGGAGGACACAGGTGAGACAGGAGCCTCTGAGGAGGACACAAGTGAGACAGGAGCCTCTGAGGAGGACACAGATGAGACAGGAGCTAGTGAGGAGGACACAGCTGAGACAGGAGCCTCTGAGGAGGACACAAGTGAGACAGGAGCCTCTGTGGAGGACACAGATGAGACAGGAGCTAGTGAGGAGGACACAGATGAGACAGGAGCTAGTGAGGAGGACACAGATGAGACAGGAGCTAGTGAGGAGGACACAGGTGAGACAGGAGCCTCTGAGGAGGACACAGATGAGACAGGAGCCTCTGAGGAGGACACAGGTGAGACAGGAGCCTCTGAGGAGGACACAGGTGAGACAGGAGCCACTGAGGAGGACACAGGTGAGACAGGAGCCTCTGAGGAGGACACAGGTGAGACAGGAGGGAGTGAAGAGGATACAGTTCTCCTTGGTCTCTCTCTGCTCTTTCTGTCTGGCCTCTCTAGTCTCTTTCTGGTCTCTCTCTCTCTCTGCTCTTTCTGGCCTCTCTTTCTGCTCTCTCTGCTCTGTGTCTATGGTCTCTCTCTCTCTCTGGTCTTTCTCTCTGGTCTCTCTTTCTCTGGGCTCTCAACCAGAGAGACATACATTATGTTATATGTTGTATATATTTTGTGATTAACTGTTTGACCCTTTGGGCTGAGAGTTCCTGCACTGTTCAAACTCCTGGACTCAGGTCTTAATCTCTGACCACACACTGTCCACTGAGGGAATGTGCTGAGTCAAGAGGAGAGAGGAGGAGAAGATAGAGAGGAGGGGGAGGAGAGTGAGAGGAGGGCAGAGTAGAGAAGGAGAGAAAGGAGGAAGAGAGGAGAAAGAGTAGGGGAGAGGGAAGAGAGGAGGAGAGGGAAGATGAGAGAGAGGGAGGAGAGCAGAGAGAGAGGAGGGAGAGCAGAGAGGAGCAGTTACAAGGACTCAATGTACTGCTGCGCAGGAGAGCAGGACACACAGGTCTGCTGTCTGTAACAGGAGCAACAGCAGTAGTGATCAGCAGTAGTGATCAGCAGTAGTGATCAGCAGTAGTGATCAGCAGTAGTGATCAGCAGTAGTGATCAGCAGTAGTGATCAGCAGTAGTGATCAGCAGTAATGATCAGCAGTAGTGATCAGCAGTAGTGATCAGCAGTAGTGATCAGCAGTAGTGATCAGCAGTAGTGATCAGCAGTAGTGATCAGCAGTAGTGATCAGCAGTAGTGATCAGCAGTAGTGATTAGCAGTAGTGAGTCATAATTAAAGGTGTCACATGTCTGTGTGCTTGCAGAGTCTGAAGTGCAGGAGCTGTTCTCTCAGGATCTTTTTGCTCCGATCAAAGACACAGATCAGAACCTGGAGTCGAACTCAGAGACCCCAGAGCTGATCCTGGACCAGGACAACACCCATGTCCTGCCTGCTGATGCGGCTGCTGCAGCAGATGTGTCCAGGCCTCTCTTCTCTCAGCCTCTGGTCAGTCTGTCTGGGTCTCTGCTGTAGATAAAAGGTCACTGTGGAGTTTCATGACTCCATAAAATACAAATCTGACAGAATTTCTGCACCAGCTTGGACTGAGGGAATAGAAGAACTGAGGGGGGAGAGGGACTGAGGGGGGAGAGGGACTGAGGGGGGAGAGGGACTGAGGGGAGAGAGGGACTGAGGGGGGAGAGGGACTGAGGGGAGAGAGGGACTGAGGGGGGAGAGGGACTGAGGGGGGAGAGGGACTGAGGGGAGAGAGGGACTGAGTGGAGAGAGGGACAATTTAGACTTTTGGCTCCTAGCTCAATATTCCATTTGAACAAAGACAATAACCCCAACCCTATTGGTTTAATTACATTTCATGCAAAATACTCTCTCTCTGCTTCCTCTAGTCTCTCTCTCTGTTCTCTTTCTGTCTCTCTTTGCTCTCTCTCCTCTCTCTCTGGTCCCTCTCTGCTCTCTCTCTGGTCCCTCTCTGCTCTCTCTCTGGTCCCTCTCTGCCCTCTCTCTGGTCCCTCTCTCCTCTCTCTCTGGTCCCTCTCCTCTCTCTCTGGTCCCTCTCTCCTCTCTCTCTGGTCCCTCTCTCCTCTCTCTCTGGTGTCTCTCTAATAACTTTCTGTTTGTTTGTGTCTTCCAGGAGCCTCTGCCTCACATCCACTTCCTGCAGGCGCTGTGTTCTCTGCAGACTCCTCCAGGAGGTGCTGTCCTGGGCTCCACTCACACATCACACACTTCTGCAGGAGGTGCTGTCCTGGAGGAGTCAGTGTTACAGCTGCTGCAGTCTGTGTGTGCCGTGTCTATAGGTGATGTAGATTGTTTTCTCTGTCTCTCTGGTCATAGTCTCTGGTCTCACAAGTAGGACATCTGTACCAGTCTCTTCTCTTGTCTCTCTCTGGTCTCTGTCTCTGGCCTCGGTCTCTGGTCTACCTCTGGTCTTGGTCTCTGGTCTCTCTCTGGTCTCAGTCTCTGGTCTCAGTCTCTGGTCTCGGTCTCTGATCTCTCGGTCTCTGTTCTCTGGTCTACCTCTGGTCTCAGTCTCTGGTCTCTCACAGGTAGGGCATCTGTAGCAGTCTCTTCTCTGATTTCCGCCTGTGGACAGTGCGTCTCTGCTCTGGAGCTTCTCCCTGGTCCCAGTGTGGACTTCAGAGTCCGACTGGAGCAGCTGGTGGGAGACCTGGTTCAAGCACTGAACCAGGGACCTTTCGGACCTCATCAGCAGGTGAGCAACAAAGCTTGCAGTAGTTTTAAAGCTGTGACACACTTAGAGGACCAAGAAAATAACGTACAATATCTTCCATTACTGAGGCTGGAGACCCATAACTGAGACTTTAGATCCAGGACTGAGGCTGTAGATTAAGGACTGAGGCTTTAGATCCAGGACTGAGGCTGTAGATCCAGGACTAAGCCTGTAGATCCAGGACTGAGGCTGTAGACCCAGGACTGAGGCTGTAGACCCAGGACTGAGGCTGTAGACCCAGGACTGAGGCTGTAGACCCAGGACTGAGGCTGTAGATTCAGGACTGAGGCTGTAGACCCAGCACTGAGGCTGTAGACCAGAGTAGTAGACCATAAGATGTGGGAGCGTCAGGCTGTGGGGCTGCTTTTCTTCAGCAGGGACAGGGAAAATTGTCAGACCTGATTGGGACCCTTAAACCAGAGCTACGCTAGCTGTTTTGCAAAGAGGAATGGGCTTTCAGTCTGTAGATGAACAGACCTAAAGAGCAGGACACTGTTCAGTTTATTTATGATTGAAAAATAATAAATTGTAAAATAGTGAAGTGGCGCCACCTGCAGGCGTCGGCTCATCTCTGTGCAGCGCTCTGTCTCCTTCACCTCCTCTGTCTCCTTCACCTCCTTCACCTCCTCCGTCTCCTTCACCTCCTCTGTCTCCTTCACCTCCTCTGTCTCCTTCACCACTTCAGTCTCCTTCACCTCTTCTGTCTCCTTCACCTCCTCTATCTCCTTCACCTCCTCTGTCTCCACCACCTCCTCTGTCTCCTTCACCGCTTCTCTCTCCTTCACCTCCTCTGTCTCCTTCACCTCCTCTGTCTCCTTCACCGCCTCTGTCTCCTTCACCTCCTCTGTCTCCTTCACCTCCTCTGTCTCAACCACCTCCTCTGTCTCCTTCACCTCTTCTGTCTCCTTCACCTCCTCTGTCTCAACCACCTCCTCTCTCTCCTTCACCTCTTCTGTCTCCTTCACCTCTTCTGTCTCCTTCACCGCCTCTGTCTCCTTCACCTCCTCTGTCTCCTTCACCTCCTCTCTCTCCTTCACCTCTTCTGTCTCCTTCACCGCCTCTGTCTCCTTCACCTCCTCCCTCTCCTTCACCTCTTCTGTCTTCTTCACCTCCTCTGTCTCAACCACCTCCTCTCTCTCCTTCACCTCTTCTGTCTCCTTCACCTCTTCTGTCTCCTTCACCACCTCTGTCTCCTTCACCTCCTCCCTCTCCTTCACCTCTTCTGTCTCCTTCACCTCCTCTGTCTCAACCACCTCCTCCCTCTCCTTCACCTCTTCTGTCTCCTTCACCTCCTCTGTCTCAACCACCTCCTCTCTCTCCTTCACCTCTTCTGTCTCCTTCACCACCTCTGTCTCCTTCACATCTTCTGTCTCCTTCACCTCTTCTGTCTCCTTCACATCTTCTGTCTCCTTCACCGCCTCTGTCTCCTTCACCTCCTCTGTCTCCTTCACCTCTTTTGTCTCCTTCACCTCCTCTGTCTCAACCACCTCCTCCCTCTCCTTCACCTCTTCTGTCTCCTTCACCTCCTCTGTCTCAACCACCTCCTCTGTCTCCTTCACATCTTCTGTCTCCTTCACCGCCTCTGTCTCCTTCACATCTTCTGTCTCCTTCACCTCCTCTGTCTCAACCACCTCCTCTCTCTCCTTCACCTCTTCTGTCTCCTTCACCACCTCTGTCTCCTTCACATCTTCTGTCTCCTTCACCGCCTCTGTCTCCTTCACCTCCTCTGTCTCCTTCACCTCTTTTGTCTCCTTCACCTCCTCTGTCTCAACCACCTCCTCCCTCTCCTTCACCTCTTCTGTCTCCTTCACCGCTTCTCTCTCCTTCACCTCCTCTGTCTCCTTCACATCTTCTGTCTCCTTCACCGCCTCTGTCTCCTTCACATCTTCTGTCTCCTTCACCTCCTCTGTCTCCTTCACCTTTAGGACTCGGATGTTCTCCTGGTCTTCAGCACCTCCTCTGTCTCCTCCAGATCCTGGATGCTCTCCTGGTCCTCAGCAGATCTGGTCTCCTGAGATGTTTCCTGATTCGTCAGATTGTGTCTGAAGTCAGAGACGTGATGAGGAAACTGTGGACTCTACACCAGGTGTGTGTGTGTGTGTGTGTGTGTGTGTGTGTGTGTGTGTGTGTGTGTGTGTGTGTGTGTGTGTGTGTGTGTGTGTGTGTGTGTGTGTGTGTGTGTGTGTGTGTGTGTGTGTGTGTGTGTGTGTGCACTTGTTTTCAACTCCTGGTGGGTTCCATAACCTGAGATTCCACTCACGTCATGGGGACTGGTTTTACGTGGTGGGGCCCGAACACCGGACCCCACTGGTCCAAGCTTAATAATCAATGGGTAATGCTTTTCTAACGGTCCTTATGCAGTCTCTGTAAAAATATGGAAAGGACCCCTGGAGGTTTACTTTCCTGAAAAAAGTGTGTTATGTGTCGGAACCCTGGTGGTGGGTTGCGGGATATCAAGGAGGGGCACACTGGGGCAATTTCAGTCCAGCAGGCTGGAGCCAATCATGGAGCAGCACAACAGAGGAAATCAGGTGTCAGGCTAGAAAAAGGTGCAAGTGTGTGGTTCATTAGGCTGCAAGAAATCATGGAGGAGCACACTGAAGCGCACGCTTACAAACCACTGGTAAGTGCTGACTACAAGTCATGACTTCAAATTGTTATATAGAATGATTACAAATTATTTGTTGTTTGTGCAGCTTAGTCAAGAGTCCCTAATTGATGAAGTCGACTCAGATTCTGACGATTTAACTGTCAAGAAGAAACCTGTAAAAAAGTATGGAAAAAGAAAAATCAAAAACACTTTTCTTCAAGACTCGGAAAGTGACGAACCAAAGGCAAATAAGATTGTTATCATGCAGCTGCAAAAGAAGAAAAATGGGGGGCGAGTATACAGCAAGAGACACTTCTGCCTCTACTGTTCAATGTCCTGCCACAAAATGTCCCGTCATTTGACTAGAAAACATGGAAATGAAAGTGACGTAGCCAGAGCATTGGCTCTACCTGTGAAATCTAAAGCACGTAAACTTCAGTTTGATTTGATCAGGAATAGTGGAAACCGTGAGCACAATTTTGAGGTTTTAAAGGCCGGCATTGGAACTTTAGTCCCAGCTAAACAGCCAAATTGCCCAGTTAAATCCAGTGAGTTTTTGCACTGTATAGACTGTGGGGCATTGCTTAAGCGAAAGTCGCTGTGGAGGCATGTGGCCAGGTGCCGGCTTTCACAGAAAGATGCCCAGGCTAAACCAGGTAGAAGTAGGGTCCAGTCCCTCTGCTCCCTAGCCCAGCCTGTACCGGAGGGCATCAGCAAAAATCTGTGGTCTTTAATTTCGGCAATGCATCAGGATGAGGTCACGGGTGTTGTCAAAGCAGAAAAGGGGATTCTGAGACTCGGAGAGCACCTGTACTTAAAACACGGGCATGATAAGACAAAGCATGATTACATTAGGCAGAAAATGAGAGAAGTCGGTAGGTTAATTAACGAAGCAAAAACCGCAGGGAAACTGAAAACAATTAAGGATTTCTTTATTCCTTCCAACTTTAACCATGTGATTGATGCAGTCAGGTCTGTGGCTGGATATGATGAGGAAACAAATCAATACAAGACTCCATCCTTGGCCCTCAAACTCGGCCATAGCCTCAGAAAGCTAGCAGATATTCTTGAATGTGACTCAAAAATGGAGCATTGTGTTGATGAACTATTTATTAAAAACCTCCAACGAAGCCGGCTGCTTTTTGAGAAGAGGTGGGACGTCTGTGTTTCTTCTGCTGCCCTACAGACCCTCCGGCAAGCCAAGTGGAACACTCCGGACCTGCTCCCTCTGACTGAGGACGTTAGAGCCATGCATGCACATATTGAGGTATGTCGACCTGAATATGTGCAAACCCTAATAAGTGAGCCAACGTCTAAGCATTGGTCTAAACTGGCAGTTTTGACTCTTTGTGAGGTCATCATTTTCAATCGAAGAAGGGAAGGTGAGGTTTCAAAGATGCCACTGACAGCCTTTACCTTAAGAAGTAAGACTGGGATCCATTCTGACATTGCTCTGGGACTGTCCCAACTTGAGAAAAAGCTGTGTCAGCATTTTCAACGCATTGAAATTAAAGGGAAAAGAAGTCGGAAAGTGCCGGTTCTTTTGACTCCTGAAATGATTGCTTCGATGGAGGTGCTGGTGGAGAACAGAAGGGCCTGTTCCATCTCTGACCATAACCCATACTTCTTTTCCCGCCCGGGCGCAGACACCCACATCAGGGGATCAGACTCCCTACGCCAGGTAGCCAAAGAATGTGGTGCGGTGCATCCAGAGATGCTATCCTCAACCAAACTTAGAAAGCACATAGCTACTATGTCTACAGTTCTCAATATGAAAGAGAATGAGATGGACATACTTGCCAACTTCCTCGGCCATGACATTCGCATCCACAGGCAATATTACAGACTACCAGAGGGGACACTGGAGCTGGCCAAAATCAGCAAAGTGTTGATGGCCATGGAGCAGGGAAGAGTGACGGAATTCGAAGGAAAGAGCCTCGACCAGATACAAATTGAGCCTGAAGGTAATTCTTGATATTATTAAAATATGTATGATTTTTTTCCCCTAAAGGCCACTTGTATTTTTATTTTCTGTGCGACAGGGAGAGCAGTAGAGATCCTCTCACAAACGGACGGGCTAAAAGAAACTTCAAGCGGAGAACCTTCAACCATTCATCCAGATGCACCCCATGGTAGTGGCAGTGCCCCTTCTGGTAAGTGTACCAGGTGGGGGATTACAGCCAGGCTGCTTGGTCCTCACCCTGGGAGTGTATATTGCTAATATATTTTTATTTCTCTCCCTAGAACGTGTAAGAAAGCCATGGTCTGCATCTGAGGTGAAGGCTGTGGAGAAGACCATGACACCTTTCATACAGACTGGAAAGGTCCCTGGGAAGTCTCACTGCCTGGCCTGCATTAATGCCTCACCAGATGACCTTAGACATCGGACATGGAGTGGCATTAAATTCTATGTCAAAAATAGAATCACTGCAATTCGAAAACAAAATCTAAAATAAAATTCCTTTAAAATAGTTGTTTGGTTTCTATTGACTGTTTTGTATTACTTAAAGTCTTGGTAAAAAAAGAGTATGTCTATGGGTCCCATTCTGAACGGCCCTGTCAAAGGGACCCACCAGGTAACAAAAACGTGTATGTGTGTGTGTGTGTGTGTGTGTGTGTGTGTGTGTGTGTGTGTGTGTCTGGCCCCTCCTGTTCTCAGAGCTGACTCAGCCTCTACAGAGGTTAAATGGACTGAGCAGCAGTTACTGACGGAGCTCAAAATCTTCCCATCCTTTATACAAACTGTCAAATGTCTGTGTGTGTGCGTTGTTGTCATAGCGACTCACTGCCACTGCAGGCAGGAGCCGTTGTCATTACAATGCGGCCGCAGCTGCCCCGGGTCAGAAAGCTGCAGGAGGATGTGAATCCGGTTCAAGTAAACCGCAAACAGCTTCACCTGGCACTGCTCCACCCATGTGCCTGTGTACCCGTGTACCCATGTACCTGTGTACCCGCGTACCTGTATGTCTTTTATGTGCACCTTTGGTTATAGATACTTTTTGACATATTTCCTAGGAGGATATCTTTTTGACGGTAAGAGCAGCCACAGATCAGAGCTTCACTCACCCGAACACAGGTCCACGGCTCGTTACGCTGTCATTCTGCAGAGTACTGTCCCCAAGTGACGTGTGAGCAGGGAACACTTTGTTTTTGTTAGGTTTAAATTAACACTAGTGACTTTTAGAGCAAGCCCCCAGCTGTAAAGTTACAGACTCCAGCTTAAAAGTCACGTACCCAGCTTAAAAGTCACGTACCCAGATTTAAAGTGCTGTATCCAGCTCTTCTGTTGTGTGACTCTGGACCTGTGTACACACTCTGAGTAATTTCAAACAGACGGAAACTGCCACAATTACAACAATTATGATTTAAATATATCCGAGAAGAAGGAGCTAATGAACCCCTGTCACCGCCTCCTCATCACCGCAGACCTGCAGCTGTGGCTCATACACTGCATATAGATGAACAAAGCTAACCCGCTAACACACTCAAGCCCTGTAGGGAAGTGCCATCCATCCATTTTCTTCCCCTTATTCCATTTCTGGGTCAGGGGGGCGGCAGTCAGAGCTGCACCCAGCACTCTTAGCACCAGCCTCTCACTGATCCTCCTGCAGGTGGTGAGTCCACAGGAGCCTTGATCATTCAGAAGGCAAAGTGGGGTTAAGTGTCTTGCCCAAGGACACAACGGCAGCAGACATCAGTGGGAGTCGTGAAGTAGGTCATGTGGTGGCCAATGCTCTACCAACTGAGCCACTGTCGCCCCTGTAGGGAAGTGCTCATGGTGAAGTTTGTTTCCTCTCTGTCTTCAATAGGAAGATCTTTAAGTGACGTCGTTGTTTATAGTTTCCCCGCGCAGAAAAAGCCTCCTGGACGCTTCAGAGTTAGATAGTTTTAGATGTTTGGAGAGCGGTTCTACTAAATGAAATGATCCACTCTTGTTGTGTGGTCAGTTGTACGGCCCGCTGGGGCCAAATAAACGCTTTTTTTTTTCAAATTCCATCTGAAAAGAACAACAAAAAATGTGAGAAATGGTTGCGGGCAATTAGGAGAATGAATCCTCAGAAGAAAGCCTGGATTCCGGGATCAACAGTAACAGTACACACAACTAAAATATACTGATCAATGAAAACTTAACCGGCTTTACAGTCACAGTGAGCAGTGATGGTTTCTCGGTTCTCCTTCGTAATCACCCACGGCAGATGTGAATCCCACGCAGGCTCTGCTTGACCTGGTCTGGCCTCAGCTTTCAACCATAGACTGTAAACATTGAACGTAGTCACGCCTATCTCAGCCGTTGAAACTATGTGTTAATCTTAAATGTCTCCCAACAGATTGGTGCCAAGACGAGTCTGACCAACATTTGTCCTCATCCCAAGTCTCACATAGGCTTTAAATTTGTTCAGTTCAGTCTCCTATACTGTTTATAACTCCTCCAATGCAAGATCTTCTTGCTCATATCTCTTTTAAAAGTACTTTTTCGCATCCATGCTTCTGAATGTACTGCTATGTCTTCTTGCCACACTGGCACTCCTATTGACTTCTGTGTAAAAGTAACCTCCTCTCGCTCAGTAATGTTTGTGTGACATCACCATTTTGGGTTTAAATGTCATGTGTAATGTTGTCTTTGCCTATAAGGAGCGCGGAAATATTGTTCGCTGCATGCCTTAATGTGTATACAGTGCCTTGCCAAAGTATTCGGCCCCCTTGAACCTTTCAACATTTTGCCACATTTCAGTCTTCAAACATAAAGATAAATTTTTTTTATTTTTTGTCATGAATCAACAACAAGTGGGACACAATCGTGAAGTGGAACAAAATTTATTGGATAATTTAAACTTAAAAAAAAAATAAAAAACTGAAAAGTGGGGCGTGCAATATTATTCGGCCCCCTTTACTTTCAGTGCAGCAAACTCACTCCAGAAGTTCAGTGAGGATCTTTGAATGATCCAATGGTGTCCTAAATGACTGATGATGATAAATAGAATGCACCTGTGTGTAATCAAGTCTCCGTATAAATGCACCTGCTCTTTGATAGTCTCAGGGTTCTGTTTAAAGCACAGAGAGAACCATGAAGACAAAGGAACACACCAGGCAGGTCCGAGATACTGTTGAGAAGTTTAAAGCCGGATTTGGATACAAAAAGATTTCCCAAGCTTTAAACATCTCAAGGAGATGTTTAAAGCTCAAGGAGCAAGGAGCAAAGCCAAATCTACAATGGAATGGTTCACAAATAGACGTATCCAGGTGTTAGAATGGCCAAGTCAAAGTCCAGACCTGAATCCAATCGAGAATCTGTGGAAAGAGCTGAAGACTGCTGTTCACAAACGCTCTCCATCCAACCTCACTGAGCTCGAACTGTTTTGCAAGGAAGAATGTGCAAGAATTCCAGTCTCTCGATGTGCAAAACTGATAGAGACATACCCCAAGCGACTTGCAGCTGTAATTGCAGCAAAAGGTGGCGCTACAAAGTATTAACGCAAGGGGGCCGAATAATATTGCACGCCCCACTTTTCAGTTTTTTATTTGTTAAAAAAGTTTGAATTATCCAATAAATTTTGTTCCACTTCACGATTGTGTCCCACTTGTTGTTGATTCTTGACAAAAAAATATATATTTTTATATCTTTATGTTTGAAGCCTGAAATGTGGCGAAATGTTGAAAGGTTCAAGGGGGGCGAATACTTTCGCAAGGCACTGTAGATCCAGGACTGAGGCTGTAGATCCTGGTCAGATCCAAGATCAAGAGTGTCTCATCCTCTTCTGTCTCCTCTCAGTCCTCAGACCCAGACCTGGACTCCTTCCCTTTAGTTCAGTACCAGAATTCATGTCTCCTCATGTGGCTCCTGGAACAGCTGCTGCAGACCAGTCCTCCAATCAGAGAGCCTGATACTGACAGCTCAGACCTGCCCACCCATCACAGTCCAGGGAAAGAGGCATCCAGAAAGCCGCTGCAGTGCAGGGCATCAGGGTGAGTTTCAGACTATTCAACCACAACAGAAGACTTTTATTACAGAGTCCTGTTTTTCTGCAGCTTTGTGGACTCTGACGGACCAATGACAGCAGGGCTCACTTCAAACGGACCAATGACAGCAGGGCTTAGTTCAAATGAACCAATGACAGCAGGGCTCAGTTCAAACGGACCAATCAGAGTGGACATGGGCAGGTGGAAGCAGGAGCTGTCAGAAGTGCATCAGTGTGTGTTTCCCCTGTCTCAAGAGCGCCCCCTCTTCTCTGTGTGTGTGTGGAGAGTCCTGAATCTGTAGAACCAGGACTGGACCGGGTCTGGACCAGGAACCTGTGTGGAGAGTCCTGACTGTACTGTATGTAACATGTAACATGTAAAATGTAAATTAGTATCTAATACGTATCTTACTGAAATTGGTTGATTTATGGATTTTAGGCCTGAGTACATAACACACACAGACACACACACTCACACAGCACCGAGACCAGAGACCGAGACCAGAGAGAGACCTGAAAGAGAGACCAGAGAGCGAGACCAGAGCGAGACCAGAGAGAGACCTGAGAGAGAGACCAGAGAGAGACCTGAAAGAGAGACCAGAGAGCGAGACCAGAGCGAGACCAGAGAGAGACCTGAGAGAGAGACCAGAGAGAGAGAGACCAGAGAGAGAAACCAGAGAGAGAGACCAGAAAGAGAGACCAGAGAGAGAGAGACCAGAGAGAGAGAGACCTGAGAGAGAGACCTGAGAGAGAGACCTGAGAGAGAGACCAGAGAGAGAGAGACCTGAGAGAGAGACAAGAGAGAGAGACCAGAGAGAGAGAGACCTGAGAGAGAGACAAGAGAGAGAGATACCAGAGAGAGAGACCAGAGAGAGACCGGTGAGAGGTGTCCTGGTTTTGCTGTGAACTCAGAAGTGGGACACAGATATCTGCTCCTCTGAGTCCTTCTGTCACGGATCAATCCTAAATTTAACCTTTTGAACAGAGTCCAGACCCACATCCTGCCCCAGTTTTGCTGCTCTCCAGCGGAGGCAGCGCTGAGGCGTTTGTGCCAACAACAAACTGGAAACACAAACTCGCCACATCTGGAGACTGATCTGTGCCCGTTCCTCTTTACACGAGTCTTGGTTGATTTGCAGTGATCCATATTCTGTTTGTAAATAATGTTTAGTGACAGAGGAGACCTTTGACCTTTCATTATCAGAAACTTTAACATTTAGTAATGATGTACCAGTTTTATTCTATTGGACTCTCAAAGTCACATCACATGTAATTATTCTTTCACTCAAAACACTGTGGTGATAAACTACTACTGTAGCCACAGCTGCCCTGGGGAACACTGACAGAAGCGAGGTAACCAGTTTTTACCATCGGCACCTCCGAGCACCACCAACCATTCTCACACACACACTATAATTATGCTAATGAGGGTGAAGTGTCTTGCCTAAGGACACAACCATAGTTTGGCACTTTTTAGCCGCAGTTGCCCTACTGTGGCACCTGCTGTTCCCAGATGTCTCCCATCAATGTATTAACCGGGCCCTGTCCTGCTTAGCTTCAGAGGCCTGACAGGAGCTGTCTTTCACCTGCATGTGTGACACAATAGTGTTTGTTTCACTGGTCCTTTAGAACTCTGATCTCTAACAGTTTGCCTAAATTAGAGTCTAAATAACCCAGGGTTAGGAAAAATAATCAAAATTAAAGCCGCAAGCGGCGTCGAACGGCCCTCGCCGCACCGCGCGACTCCCTGCACCGCGCGCACTCCCCGCACCATGCCGCCCCGCACCAAGCCGCCCTGCACCATGCCGTCCCGCACCACGCCGCCCCGCACCAAGCCGCAACGCGCCGCTCCACAACGCCCCGCACTACGCCGCAGCACCGCTAAAAGGAGCTGGCACCGCTAAAAGGAGCTGGCACCGCCGTGTGATGATTTGTTTCCGTAGCCATAGAAGAATGTTAGTCAAATTGTAATGAATATGATAAGTAGAGCTGGTTTGGCTCCCCATGTAAACTTTGACACAGTCTGTAGGGGGCGCTAATGGGCCAATTTCCCAATATTTCACTTTAACCTGACCTAAACCCTGGAATTGAACAATGGATTAAAGTTTTGTGCAAATCAGACTTTGTTTGTGCAAACAGGAGCAAAATTAATGTTGTCAAAAAGAGCCAAAAAAAACCCTCACATTTTGCGGCTCCGCTGCTCAAACAACGTTTCACGGATCAAAATTCCCTGAAGTCATTTTGATGGTACATGTGTTGAGAGGATGTGGAGCAATTTTGAGGTGAATCGGTGAAACGGCCGAGGCTGGTTTGATGTTTGTGTGAGGTGTACATTTGCAATGAATGGGGAGCGTTTCTCGTCGCCACGGCAACAGGGTAAAAAATAAGCCTTGGACCCTATTGACTTTTTGAATCAACAGGGCAAAACAGATTTATGTGCAAAATTTCAAACATTTTGAAAAAACTAAATTTGAAAAGGCCCATCTAACATTTTGAAATAGTCTGTAGGGGGCGCTAATGTGTCAATTTGAATTAATTCACCTTCAAACGACCTAGACCCTAGAGTTGAACAATGTATTAAAGTTTTGTGCAAATCAGACTTTGTTTGTGCAAACGGGAGCAAATTTAATGTTGTCAAAAACGGCCAAAAAAATGTCACATTTTGCCGCTCCGCTGCTCAAACAATCTTTCACTGATCAAAAATCCCTGAGGTCATTTTGAAGGTACATGTGTTGAGATGATGTGGAGCGATTTTGAGGCGAATCGGTGAAACGGCCGAGGAGGAGTCGCTTTCCAACCGACGTATATGAGAATGATTGGTTTTCATTTTTCCATTTTGCAGTGAAATTTATGGGCTTCCTGTTTGTCAGAGGGATTAGCCATAATTACATTTTTTCCATGTCTTGACTTGAGGAACATGTGTACCAAATTACATGGTTCTACAAAAATTTTGACCTCGAACCCCTCCCATAGGCATTTTTAAATTGGCTGTTGTAGGTGGCGCTATAGAGCCAATTTCAAAATTCTAACTTTCAAATGACCTAGACCCAAGAGTTGAAGCATGGATTCAAGTTTTGTGCAAATCAGACTTTGCTTGTGCAAACGGGAGCAAATTTAATGTTGTCAAAAACGGCCAAAAAAAGGTCACATTTTGCCGCTCCGCTGCTCAAACAATGTTTCACTGATCAAAAATCCCTGAGGTCATTTTGAAGGTACATGTGTTGAGATGATGTGGAGCGATTTTGAGGCGAATCGGTGAAACGGCCGAGGAGGAGTCGCTTTCCAACCGTCATGTATGAAAACTTTTGCTGTTCATTTTTCTATTTTGCAGTGAAATTTATGGGCTTCCTGTTTGTCAGAGGGCGGAGCCATAATAATATTTTTTTCTTGTCTTGACTTGAGGAACATGTGTACTAAATCTCATGTTTCTACGACAAACTTGACCTCCGAAAAGTCCCATAGGGGTATTATTTTGGCTGTTGTAGGTGGCGCTGTTCTGTCATTTTTTGAGTCCCATAAAAATAAACACCAAAATATCAAATTTTTCGCCAGGTCTGATTTTTGGGCCAAAATTAACAACTTTTCATGCATGTTCAGGGGGTCAAATTAAGGCTCAAAGTGCAGAAGAAAAAAGAAAGAAAGAAATAAAAAAGGAATTTTTTTTTAACGTCTCGAGCAAAAACAATATAGGTTTCAATGGCATGTGATACATCATTTTAAAGCGTTTGAGTTTACGCACGCAACTGTCACGTTTTGGTGAGTGACGGGCGCTGACGCGTCCGTCACGCACCGCCACCATTTGTTTTCACCATTGTGAAAGCAATAGGCCCTTACCCCGTTCGGGGCTCGGGCCTAATTCCGCTCGAAAAAATATTGAGTGTGTTTTCTAATCACTGCTGTTTCTGTTTGACATCAGTCCTGATGTGTTCAGGGCAGCAGCGCCCTCTGCTGGCGCTCAGCTGTCATTACACTCACTGCAGCATATTGTTCTGGCTGCATCGTGTGTGCGTCTGTGTGGGGGTGTGGGTGTGGCTTCCTTAACATCAGCAGACATTCAGGAAGTGATGTCAGGAGTTAAACCCACAACCACATAGAAACGTCTCACACTTGACCCATTGTAACCCAGAGAGGAGATAGAGGTGTCGTCTGTGTTGGTTCAGACCTCTGTAAGGCCACAAAATACATGATCCTGTCTCTGTTTTAGACTCTGACCATTGACTCTGACCTTAGACTCTGACCTTAGACTCTGACCTTAGACTCTGACCTTAGACTCTGACCTTAGACTCTGACCATAGACTCTGACCATAGACTCTGACCATAGACTCTGACCTTAGACTCTGACCTTAGACTCTGTCCTAGACTCTGACCTTAGACTCTGACCTTAGACTCGGACTGGGTGGAGCTGCTGCACAAGTTCAAATAAAACACATTAATCAGTGACGGCAGGTAGCATGCAGACACACACACACACACACAGATACACACACAGACACACACACACACACAGATACACACAGACACAAACACACACACACAAAAGGCTGTATGCAGTAAATGTATTCCAACCACTTCTGCAAATATGGTGTTGACTGCTCATCAGCAGTTATGTATTATTATTAACGCCCCAAACACATGGTCTCTCTCTGGTCTCTCACTGGTCTCTCTCTGGTCTCGCTCTGGTCTCTCTCTGGTCTCGCTCTGGTCTCTCTCTGGTCTCTCTCTGGTCTCGCTCTGGTCTCTCTCTGGTCTCGCTCTGGTCTCTCTCTGGTCTCGCTCTGGTCTCTCTCTGGTCTCTCTCTGGTCTCGCTCTGGTCTCTCTCTGGTCTCGCTCTGGTCTCTCTCTGGTCTCTCTCTGGTCTCGCTCTGGTCTCTCTCTGGTCTCTCTCTGGTCTCTCAAGTTGTTCTCTGGTTACTTCTTTGCTTGTCCCCTCACAAACACGCGCACCCACACACTTCACAAAAGTGCATGTACACGCGCACACACACACACACAAATACACACCCCTTCTCAGAGCAGAGCGCTCCTGTGTGTGCCCCTCTCCCTTTCTTCTGCCCCAGAGCAGAATACACACACGCACACACTCAGAAAAGAATGCTCCTCAGAGCAGAGCGCTCCTGTGTGTGCCCTACTCCCTTTCTTCTGTCCCGGGGCAGAACACACATATATGCACACACACACAGACACACACACTCAGAACACACGTATGCGCACACATGCACAGACATATATACTTTCTCGCTCATGACCTCAGCTCCTCCCCCTTTGTCAGTCTCACTGCTCTCTCAGTCTCAGTTATGTTACTTTAGCTCCTCTTTCACACTGACACATGGCTCTCGCTCTCACAGAACACACACGCTCTTACCACGTACACACACACTGCTAACAGACACACACACTCTCCTAACTCATACACACACTCTCCTAACACACTTCTCTCAGTCATGACTTCAGCACGCCACACGCCGCACATTCCCACTCTTCAGCGCCTCCTGCTCACGTGCACGCTGATGTGCACTCTGACATTCGCGCTCACACAGGATTTTGAGCTGCTGCTCCTTCACACTAATGATGTGCACGCTCGTGTGGAGGAGACCAGCGAGTCGTCAGGTACCTGCACGCGATCCAGGGGGAGACACTGCTTTGGGGGCGTGGCCCGCAGAGCCACTCTGGTGCGTCAGATCCGGGAGGCAGCAGGAGCAGCAGGAGTCCCGGTTCTGCTGCTGGACGCTGGAGACCAGTTCCAAGGCTCTGTGTGGTTCAGCTTCTATAAGGGAGCAGAGGCCGCCTTCTTCATGAACCTGCTGCGCTACGACGCTATGGTAACCACTGTGTACTTATAATATATGTGTGTGTCATGTGCCTTAGTCATGGCTCTAAGCGTTTAGTTTGCGGGTCACTAAACAACATCATGAAGTTCAACGACCAGAAAATAGAAAGACTATAGACCACTGCAAACTTACCGAGACACGGCCGTCCACCTCAACTCACAAGCCCAACCAGGAGAGCACTGCTCACAGATGCAGACAAGAGGCCCACGGTTACTCTGGAGGAGCTGCACACATGATGGCTGGGTTTTATTAAAATCCCAGAACCAGACCGAACAAAACAGGACTGACTGCCAGAAATGATGTGTCTATATTCCCCCACAGACTCCCCCAGGACAGGGAGGCTAAACCTGGGCTCAACTTGGGCTCAACCTGGGGCATGCCATTCCAAATTGGAAGGGTCGAAACACGATCCAATCTACTTTTCCCCAGTGTGAACAAGCCTCCCCATCTATAGAGAAAGGCAACACAAATGATGATTAATAATATTTGACTCAGCACAAGGAGAGAGTCCACTGACCACTACCACTGTCATCAGAGTAAGGAAGGGCAGAATCCTGCTGTGGACAGAGGAGGGGGCAGCATTCGGCTGTTGACATAGTGAGGGCAGCATCCTGCTGTGTAGGTGACTTTACTGAGTCACGGCTGCACTGACCTGAACCCACCGACATAGGACGGAAAGCTGTGGTTTTTCTGTTTTTGTTCAAAGTTTCCTCTCATCTGTGTATATCGTGAGGTTGACGCCCAGTCTCTGCTCCACACAGAGCGGGGAAGAGGCCCAACAGGGGAAAAGGAGGTGTGGTGCGGCAAACTGGGCCAGCTGAGACCTGATGCGGTCAGAACCGCTCTAGATGTGTATATTATTTGTTTCTGCTGGGTTTTCTAACTACCCAACTCACGGCTTTAATAACGTATGACCACAGCATTGCAAATAGTTAAATGAACGTGATGAACAAAGCTACACCAGTGGGGACGTTGTGGCCAAGGTGGCGGGGGAAGCAGAAGTTTCAGACTCAGGAAGTGGCAACGCCTTCATTATAGTAATTATAGACAAGGGAGAGACCAGAGAAAGACCAGGGAGAGATCAGAGAGAGACCGGAGTTGATATGTTCCGACAGAGATGCTGAATTTTGTTTGTTTTTTGCTTATGTGGAATTACGGAGAAATGAACTCTGAACTCAGAATCTAACTGTTGACACTATAGTCATGAGGAGAAGAAAAACAGAAAAACCACAGTGAGCTGCTTCCTCTGACTGACACAAACCCCAGTTACCATAGTTACCATGAATTAGTAATGTTTATTTATATAGACTTTTACAGATTGAGGTCACCCAAAGCGTTCAGAGTTCAGATATTGTTCTATTCTCTACACAAGGTGATGAAGCGAGACCAGAACAAACAGAATTATACACAGAATGATCCACACACACAAGACTTACGGACAAATACTGTCCCAGGCACTGATTATGTGGCCAACCGTTCAGTGAAACTATAGTCTGTGGTCTTTGAGGCAAGTGATGTCACATGAACACAAAATATTGATGTTTTGGCTGATGAAGGTGTGTGTCTCTATGTGTGTGTGTGTGTATTGGTGTCTCTCTGTCACCCCCTTCAGGCCCTGGGGAACCATGAGTTTGATAATGGCGTGTCAGGTCTCTTGGATCCGTTCTTGGCCCAGGTCCAGTGTCCGGTGCTGAGTGCAAACCTCCACACTAAACCCCCCCTCGCCCACAGCTTTGGCTCCGCCTACAGCCCATATAAGGTCCTCACTGTGGGGGGGCAGAAGGTGGGGGTGGTGGGCTACACTTCCAGAGAGACACCGGCCCTGTCTGCCCCAGGTGAGGCCAGACCAGACCCAGGTGAGGCCAGACCAGACCCAGGTGAGGCCAGACCAGACCAGACCCAGGTGAGGCCAGACCAGACCAGACCCAGGTGAGGCCAGACCAGACCGGACCCAGGCGAGGCCAGACCAGACAAGACCCAGGTGAGGCCAGACCAGACCAGACCGGACCCAGGTGAGGCCAGACCAGACCAGACCCAGGTGAGGCCAGACCAGACCAGACCGGACCCAGGTGAGGCCAGACCACACCAGACCCAGGTAAGGCCAGACCAGACCGGACCCAGGTGAGACCAGACCAGACCAGACCCAGGTAAGGCCAGTTCAGACCGGACCCAGGTGAGGCCATACCAAACCAGACTCTCCTCAGCCCTCTCCCCTCCCCTTTCCTTTCATGTATTGGTGTATTTGAATAAGGACACCCTCCCGTCTCTCTCCCCCAGGTCCTCACCTACACTTTGAGGATGAGCTGAGCGCCCTCCAGAGGACAGTGGACAAACTGCAGACTCTGGGTGTGAATAAGATCATTGCTCTGGGACACTCAGGCTTCAGCGTCGACCAGAGGATCGGGCGCCAGGTCAGCGGGGTCGACGTGGTGATTGGGGGCCACTCCAACACCTTCCTCTACACGGGTGAGGAGCCCCGCAGTAAAACCACTTTAGAGACAAGTCTGCAGCAGACCAGGACCTAAAGGTCACAGAACATTATCTGTGTTTATATGGCGGATGTTTATTCTCCACATGAACGCAGAGCGGGAGAGTTTATGTGCTGAATAAACATGCCCCCCGCCTCTCCCCACAGGACCCCCTCCCTCTACAGAGGTCCCAGTCGGCCCGTACCCCTTCATGGTGCGCTCTGATGATGGTCACATGGTCCCTGTGGTCCAGGCTTATGCCTTTGGAAAGTATCTGGGGAAACTGAGAGTGAAGTTCAGCGCAGAGGGAAGAGTCCTGGAAGCTTCTGGAAACCCGGTTCTACTGAACGAGAGCATCCCCCAAGGTCTGAGCCACAGCTGAGTCTGGTCCATGTTCAGGACCTGTACGAGTCCAAGTTCAGGACCAGTACTGGATCAGGTTCTCCATGTACATTGAAGTAGGGAGGACTGGTCCATCTCTGTTCCTCCTCAGAACTTCATATTTTCTTGGGGCTCTCTCTCTCTGGTCTCTCTCTGGTCTCTGGACTTTCTCTCTGGTCTCTGGACTTTCTCTCTGGTCTCTGGACTTTCTCTCTGGTCTCTCTCTGGTCTCTGGACTTTCTCTCTGGTCTCACCCTGGTTCTCCTCAGACCCTCAGGTCCTGTCAGAGGTGCAGAAGTGGAAGCAGGACCTGAGGAACTTCTCGTCGCAGGTTGTGGGTGAAACGCTGGTTTTTCTGAATGGATCGAGCGAAGAGTGTCGCTTTCGGGAGTGTAACCTAGGCAACCTAATCACCGACGCCATGGTAACAAAACACAGCACCACTAACACCATGGTAACCACACACAGGATCGCTAACGCCATGGTAACCACACACAAACATCTCACTACAATATTACGTAAAGAAATTATCGAAACTCAACATTCACACATTTTCTTGAAGTCTGGTTCTCAGACTGGTCCTGGCTCCGGGTTAGGGTCTGTTAGTGTCTGAAGTTAGGGTCTGAAGCTGTGTAGGGCAGGGCCTGGTTAGTTCTGTGATGGGAGACTTCACATCACAGTGGGGCGGCTGCAGCACCTGCCCAGGCCCTGGTCCTGGTCCTGGTCCAGACCTCTCTCTTCCTTGTCCTTCAGGTGGAAAGTTCTCTGGGATACGCTGAAGATCACCAGTGGAACCATGTGTCTGCAGCTCTGATGAACGGAGGAGGAGTCAGGAGCTCCATCGACGAGGAGGCCAGGAACGGTACACTCTTATGGTCTTTCTCTCATGATGGCCATACTTGCATGCAAAATCCAGATTCCTTGAGATCTTTGAAGCTGTGCAGGTCAGGGCCTGGTTAGTACTGTGATGGGAGACCTCTGGGAACACCAGGTGCCACAGTGGGATGAAGACATTTCATCCACATTCGAACGAGTCTGGTGTGTGTGTGTGTGAATGGTTGGTGGTGGTGGGAGGAGCCAATGGCACAGACTGGTTCCCATGATTCTGTCAGTGTGCCCAGGGCAGCTGTGGCTACAGTAGTAGTTTATAATAAATAACGATGAATGATAATAAAGAATGACACGCTTTTTTTGAGAGTCCAAAAAAGCGTTATAGGAAACCAATGCATTATTATTATTATTATTATAGTGTCTCTCTTTTCGGTCTCTCTGGTCCTGGTCTCACAGTCCTCTCTGGTTCCAGGATCCATCACAATGGAGGAGGTGCTGGGGGTTCTCCCGTTTGGAGGAACCTTTGACTTTGTGTCTCTGAGAGGATCCACTCTGAGGAAGATGTTTGAACATTCAGTTCATCGCTACGGAGAAAGCAGCGGGGAGTTCCTGCAGGTCTCAGGTCTGTCCTCTCTCCTCTGTCCTCACTCTTCTCTTCTCTCCTCCTCTCTCCTCTGTCCTCACTCTTCTCTTCTCTCCTCCTCTCTCCTCACTCTTCTCTTCTCTCCTCCTCTGTCCTCACTCTTCTCTTCTCTCCTCTCCTCTCTCCTCTGTCCTCACTCTTCTCTTCTCCCCTCCTCTCCTCTCTCCTCTGTCCTCACTCTTCTCTTCTCTCCTCTCTCCTCTGTCCTCACTCTTCTCTTCTCTCCTCCTCTCTCCTCTGTCCTCACTCTTCTCTTCTCTCCTCTCCTCTGTCCTCACTCTTCTCTTCTCTCCTCCTCTCCTCTCTCCTCTGTCCTCACTCTTCTCTCCTCTGTCCTCACTCTTCTCTTCTCTCCTCTCCTCTCTCCTCTGTCCTCACTCTTCTCTTCTCTCCTCTCCTCTGTCCTCACTCTTCTCTTCTCTCCTCCTCTCCTCTCTCCTCTGTCCTCACTCTTCTCTTCTCTCCTCCTCTGTCCTCACTCTTCTCTTCTCTCTTCCTCTCCTCTCTCCTCTGTCCTCACTCTTCTCTTCCTCTCCTCTCTCTTCTCTTTTCTTCTCTCCTCCTCTCTTCTGTCTTCTCTCCTCTCTCCTCCTCTCTTCCCTGTCCCACTCCCCTGTCCCTGTCCCCCAGGTTTCCGTGTGGTGGTGGACCTCTCCAGACCTCCGTTCAGCCGTGTCCGCTCTCTCCTCATGCTCTGCACACGTTGCAGAGTCCCGGTCTTTGAGCCAGTCCAGGACCAGGAGGTCTACAAGGTGGTGATGCCGTCCTACATGGTGTCAGGAGGAGACGGCTTCCACATGGTCCAAGAGGAGATAATCAAACACAACAGCGGTAAAGTTGCACACCTCAGCTTTAAAAATGTGTTATTTATGAGACTAAAGTTGAGTGAGAAATGATGTCGGTATTGCCTGTCAGCCCATTCAGAACAGGTTCTCCCATATTACCGGCAGTTTCTGATGATTTTTATAGAATTTTCAAGACCCACAGAATATTGTGTACTATGACTGGAATCTGAAACCAGATTCTGAAAGAATGGACTGTACTTCAGCAGCAAAAAGAATTTTGTTTCTAGCTTGTTTCGTTCCGCTGTAATCCCCAGTCGAGTAGAGGGAAGTTTTACTGAGATCACCGTCTCTGACAAAACGTGCATGTTGTTTTCAAACATCCAGACGCAGCGCTGCTGCCACCTGCTGGCTCCATAATATATGGTCTAAAACTATCTGGGAACATGAAAATAGCAGAAAACGCAATTGACGTATTTGTGCGTCAATGGCACACAGCGAGTTAAGCTGAAAGTTAGAAATAGCCACTGATTGCTGACTTGGTCTGTGTCTGATCTGGTTTACAGTGAGCTGGTGTAAAGGTCTCTCACTCTGTTCCCTCTGGTTGTTTCTGAGAGCACTACGTTTCTGTCCTTTGGTGCTTTTGGCCTGATCTTCCCTGTGTTCTGTCTTCTTCCTCAGGAGACCTGGACATCTCTGTCTTCTCGTCTTTCTTGTCCAAACGCAAACTCGTTCACTCGTTTGTAGAAGGCAGAATCCAGATCCTGAACTCTGCAGCGACTCTGAGCTCTGTGAGCGCTCTGCTGCCTCTGCTGGTGTGGAGTCTTTTCTGCTGATCTGTGGGACCAGAGACACCACCAGAGAGACCATCAGAGAAACCATAGACACCACCAGAGAGACCAGAGACACCACCAGAGAGACCAGAGACACCCAGAGAGACCAGAGACACCATCAGAGACACCCAGAGAGACCAGAGACACCATCAGAGACACCCAGAGAGACCAGAGACACCATCAGAGAGACCAGAAGAGCCCTGTCGCCTGTGGACTTTCTGATGAAAACATCCAAACTGTTAATAAAGGTTCATCAGTTTCTGACGGCTCTGGTTTTGTTTTGAGCAGATTGTTCCAAACGTGAAATATCTTTAATTCAAAGGAACATTGTTCTCAGTTTTTCCAAAGACACAGTGTCCCACTGTGCTCCCCATCTCCTCTTTTTCCTCTGACCCTCCTCCCCCCTCTCTGCTCCTTCTCCCCTCTCTCCTCCTCCTTCCCTCTCATGCCACTCTCTCCTCCTCCTTCCCTCTCATGCCACTCTCTCCTCCTCCTTCTCTCTCATGCCCCTCTCTCCTCCTCCTTCCCTCTCATGCCCCTCTCTCCTCCTCCTTCCCTCTCATGCCCCTCTCTCCTCCTCCTTCCCTCTCATGCCCCTCTCTCCTCCTCCTTCTCTCTCATGCCCCTCTCTCCTCCTCCTTCCCTCTCATGCCCCTCTCTCCTCCTCCTTCCCTCTCATGCCCCTCTCTCCTCCTTCTTCTCTCTCATGCCCCTCTCTCCTCCTCCTTCCCTCTCATGCCCCTCTCTCCTCCTCCTTCCCTCTCATGCCCCTCTCTCCTCCTTCTCCCCTCTCATGCCCCTCTCTCCTCCTTCTCCCCTCTCATGCCCCTCTCTCCTCCTTCTCCCCTTCTCCTCTCTCATGCCCACCTCTCCTCCTTCTCCCCTCTCATGCCCCTCTCTCCTCCTTCTCCCCTCTCATGCCCCTCTCTCCTCCTTCTCCCCTTCTCCTCTCTCATGCCCACCTCTCCTCCTTCTCCCTCTCACGCCCATCTCTCCTCCTCCCTCTCATGCCCCTCTCTCCTCCTTCTCCCTCTCATGCCCCTCTCTCCTCCTCCTCCCTCTCATGCCCCTTTCTCCTCCTCCTCCCTCTCATGCCCCTCTCTCCTCCTTCTCCCTCTCATGCCCCTCTCTCCTCCTTCTCATGCCCCTCTCTCCTCCTTCTCCCTCTCATGCCCCTCTCTCCTCCTTCCCCCTCTCACGCCCCCCTCTCCTCCTTCTCCCTCTCTCCCCTCTGTGTTCCTGTTCCTGATGAATGGTGACCGTGACCTTGTGTTCCTGCTGCTGAGAGAAAGAACACTGTGTTTCTGTTTCACTGAACCTGAATGAGGTCAGGGTCAGGGGACAGTCAGAGACAGAGGGAGACAGGGACAGAGGGAGACAGGGACAGAGGGAGACAGGGACAGAGGGAGACAGAGACAGAGGGAGACAGTGACAGAGGGAGACAGTGAGAAACAGAGACAGAGGGAGACAGTGAGAGACAGAGGGAGACAGAGACAGTGAGAGACAGAGGGAGACAGGGAGAGGGAGACAGTGAGAGACAGAGGGAGACAGAGGGAGACAGTGAGAGACAGGGAGACAGAGACAGTGAGAGACAGAGGGAGACGGTGAGAGACAGGGACAGAGGGAGACAAAGACAGTGAGAGACAGGGACAGAGGGAGACAAATACAGTGAGAGACAGAGGGAGACAGTGAGAGACAGAGACAGAGGGAGACAGTGAGAGACAAAGACAGAGGGAGACAGTGAGAGACAGACGGAGACAGAGACAGAGAGACAGGGACAGAGGGAGACAGTGAGAGACAGAGACAGTAGGTGACAGGGAAACCACAGTGTGCAGAGACTGGAACAGACAGCAGAAACCACAGTTAATCAGAATAAATAATTTAATAATAAAGTTTAGTGTTCTTGGTTCAGGGGAATGTTCCACAACAGTAGGAGACCAGCAAGAAACAGTATTAGAGATATTTGACCCTCAGTCTGTTGTCAGAGAGAACAATTGTTTCATGATTGGTTCTTTGTCATAAACAGTGGGAGCGCTGCAATTTTCAAGATCTTTGGTCTGCTCCTCTTCCTCCATGATGAAGACTAATCCTCTTCCTCAGTGATGAAGACTCAGACGATAAAGGCTGGGCTCTGAAACGCAAGTAAATTTTACTGCAACATGAGACTGACATGTGGTTAAGTAAGGGATAACGTATATTACGCAGGTCATTATCGGAAAATAAGTACCGACAGGGCGAAGCTTCCGCTTCCGCAGGTCCGCTTCCGCCCTGAAGGTACTTATTTTCCGATAATGACCTGCGTAATATACGCTATCCCACTTATTATACGGCTTTATACCAACAGAACACACAACATAAACTTCAGTCCACTTTTAGGAATGCCGAAAGGTTTATTTAATGACAGAAAATAAAATAGTTCCCAAAGGTTTTCCCGTGGCTATGCTAGTGCAACAGTTAGGATAGCAACTTCCAAACTAGAACTCCCTGGAACTGCATGAAAACTGAACAAAGAATTCTGAACATCAGCGGTGAGTGACCCAAACATAAACCTAACCTAAATCCATAATTCGATCCTCTGCAAATGTGTCCGAAAATGTGCCGGTATCTACTTCCGGGTTTTTCGGGATCGCATTTTCTCGCATTACATCAGTGTTTTTGTCATGAAAACGTAAACGGAAAATTCTGAAAACTTCCGTGCACTTGTATTAAGACTGGATATGTATAAATTACTCTCCGATTAACATTTCATTGCGTTGATTGATTGGCGTTTGCGTTTATTGAGCGGCCGGAACTACTTCCGGGTTTTTCACGATCGCTTTTTGACGCAGAGAAATAGTATTTTTGTCATGAAAAAATTTCCGTGCACGTGTGTGAAGAATGTATATGTATAAGTATTCTCCGATTAACATTTAAGTGTGTTGATTGAGCGTGGCTAGCTCCGGAGTGGCCGGAACTACTTGCGGAGTTATCCACACATCTGAAAGACAAGCAGAGAGTGCGTTGCCAAAGGGCAGCGGTCATTATTGTTTTGAGAGGTCCGTTATAGAAAATAATGACCGGTAGAACGTTTTGAAATTACATTCAAATCAATGGAGCATTCTACTGCTGCTGTGAGGAGCCGTATAATAACTGCTGCTAATACACAGAGACACACACATTCCATTGACACATGTCGAGACACTTAAAAATGTGTTCAAACTTGCTTCATGTTCCACTCTTTCTTTTCAAATAAATCATATGTTAATGTTACCCAGAGACATCACACACCAGGATTGAACCAGAAGACCAACATGGACCAGACAAAACCAGAACTCTACTGGTCCCTGCTTTATCACAGGAGTGATACCAGAGCGAGAAACCAGAGAGAGACCAGAGCGAGATACCAGAGCGAGATACCAGAGCAAGAAGCAGCGTGAAACAGTGAAAGGTGAACAGTGTGTATAATGAGGGACCAGTAAACACCAGAAAACAATATTTACAAACATTGTGAGACCAGCAGCACTGACCTTATTGAGCTCTGGGAACAGCTCCTGCAGCGCGATGTCCAGCAGAACATAGGTCATCTGTGGAGGAGAGACCAGGGAGAGATCAAAGAGAGACCCGGGAAATGGAGGAGAGAGACACCAGAGAAAACGAGGAGAGAGACCAGAGAAAAAGAGGAGAGAGACCAGAGAGAAGTGTTAAGGTTAGGGCATCATACTTTCTCTGGAACAAGAATTTTATCAATGTTTAACTTTCCTCCAAAATATAAAACACATAGTTTAATCCGCAACAGAATTTAAGATAAATTTTTATGTTTTTCTGTTTCAGTTGAAAATGTGTTGTTACAGTGAAGCCATGGTGTGTGACATCACCTGTTTGTTGAGCAGCGGCTGCTGAATGGTGTCGAATAGAAGTTTCACTCCTTCATATTTGGATTCTTCTCCGATTAGTTTAGTCACAAAATCTGAAAACTCAAAAGAAAGTTAGAGACCCCAGAAAGAGAGACCAGAAATAGTATAGTATAGTATGTTGTGACGCAGCACAGACCTGGCAGATACTTCATCATCTCCTCAAACGTCTGCTTCGCTCTGCTCTGTTTGTCCTCAGCGCTGCGCTCAGAGGAGTCCTCACAAAATACTGCATCTGAAACACACAGTCCTCACAAAACACTGAAACACACAGTCCTCACAAAATACTGCATCTGAAACACAGTCCTCACAAAACACTGAAACACACACAGTTCTCACAAAACACTGAAACACAGTCCTCACAAAACCCTGAAACACACAGTCCTCACAAAAAACTGAAACACACAGTCCTCACAAAACACTAAAACACACAGTTCTCACAAAACATTGAAACAGTTCTCACAAAACACTGAAACACAGTCCTCACAAAATACTGCATCTGAAACACACAGTCCTCACAAAACACTAAAACAGTCCTCACAAAACACTGACACACGCAGTCCTCACAAAACACTGACACACACAGTCCTCACAAAACACTGACAGACAAAGGGTCTGAATACAGAGTGACAATGCTAACCTGCCATCTCCTTTTCTCTCTGGCTCCTATGGACTTGTATGTAAAAGTAAACTCTTTGACTTCTCACTGACCTGTGTGATGGCCTCTGACCCCTCCTCTCACTGACCTCTGTGATGACCTCTAACCCCGCACCTCATAGACCTGATCTGTGTGATGGCCTCTGACCCCTCCCGGACCTGACCTGTGTGATGAACTCTGACCCCTCCGCTCACTGACCTCTGACCTGTGTGATGACAGACACCAGCCTGTGCTCTTGTAGAACCTGCTGCAGTTTGTGGATCATCAGACGATTCACGTACGACTCAAATGACCGCTTCGCCACGATCCGCACCGCAAACAGGAAGTGATGTAAGAGGGCAGGGACGTGGAACACCACACGGGCTGCAACAGAAACATGTACACAAAGACACACACAGAGAGACACACAAGCACACAGAGAGAGTGAGACAGGGAGAGAGAGACACACACACAGACACAGATAGAGAGAGAGAGAGAGACGCGCAGAGAGAGTGAGAGACACGCAGAAAGAGAGACAGGGAGAGAGAGACACACACAGAGGGACATAGAGAGACACACACAGACTCACACACACAGATATACACACACACACACAGAGGGACATGGATATGCATGCACACACACAGACGCACACAGAGAGAGAGACAGAGATATACACAGAGACCACACACACAGAAAGTCACGCATGTGTGTGTGTGATGGTGTTACCAGTCACTCACCCACAAACATCATGTAGTCGAACATGCCATGGAGCTGCTGTTGCTCCAGGAAGTAGTTCTGTGGGCACTTCCTGTCGGAGCAATCCCTAAGGTCGGCGTTGTTGTGGTACAGCGACGTGAAGAGCTACAAACACATCCTCATTTACCATCACAAGACATAAAGAGGCATAACATGGCCGCTACACAATCTGGACACACAAAATGGCCGCTACACAATCTGGACACACAAGATAGCCACAGTAGTCTTTACCTTCTTGTCCATGTGCGCAGACGGGCTGATCACCGTGAGCTCATTCCGGTGAGGTTTGGGTTTTGGCGATTCACACGAGTTAAAGAAGGACTGGAGGAACGGGTCCAGGTTCTGCCCCTTCTGCAGAAACAAGATAGATTCAAACGTGTTAAAGAAGGAGGAGCAGGTCCAGGATCTGTTCTCTCTGCTTAATTTCATTCTCACATCGACAGCAGCACTCACCTCTTTCATCAGTTTTCCGGGGACAGACTTGAAGATTTTCCCTGTGAAGAAAGTTTTCAGTTACAAAAACAAGGTACGTTATATTGAGCCACATGTTAGCAAAACAACACTAGCTGTTAGCATCAGCTGTGTTGAGGAAGGAAGGAAGGTGTGATTGATATCACTGGTACGTGTTTATGTGAACAGTAGAACATATATATAAATATAAATATATATATATTTAATTATACATGCATATATACAGTATATATACATAAAGTATTCGCCCCCCTCGAACCTTTCAACATTTCAACACATTTCAGGCTTCAAACATAAAAATATACAATTTTAATTTTTTGTCATGAATCAACAACAAGTGGGACACAATCGTGAAGTGGAACGAAATTTATAGGATAATTTAAACTTTTTTAACAAATAAAAAACTGAAAAGTGGGGCGTGCAATATTATTCGGCCCCTTTACTTTCAGTGCAGCAAA